ATTGTGGAGAGTGCGTCGGCTACTACTGTCGTGAGCAAAACGGTCGTGTTCTCACGCAGCGGATCATCCTTACCTGACAGCCAGGTACGTGGAGCTTGCCGCCGCTATACTCTCTCCCCGTAACTGCCGCGTATTGAGGCTATATCATCAGACGCCTGCAACAGGGAAGACACAGCTTGATCGGCAATAATGTGGCCCTATCCCTCCTGATCGACCAATGGCGGCATCATTCGCTGTATGTTCGCGGCTATTCTGAGGATTTCTAACTGCAAGGCGAGTTCCTGCTTGGGGCTCATATGACCTCGAATAGTATACTCTGTGACGGCTCGCAGCTGATCCGCGGCCAGCTGTCGAAGTCTGTGACAGTATTCAACGGATCTCGTGATGCTCATGGTCAGCGTTGTGGGCTGGAGTGCTGGGGCAAACACTAGTCGTAGTAAAGAAATGGGAGAAGAATGGAGATGATGTGTGCACCACGGCCTACGCTATCTCTCATGGCTTTCAGACCAGTTCTGGAATATGTATATGATATATATCGCACGGCGAAGGCGAGCTGTGACTATGGGTGAATCGAGATGAAACAGAAACAGGATCCTGCAGTCACCTTTCGGCCGTGCTTGGAAATAGAGCCGATAGTTGCTCTGCGCCCAGTATAGCCGCTGCTTCGATTCGGGTGCGGGGAGGTATGTAAGCTGGCAGGCTGAAGTTGACTCCACAAACCAACGTGATGAGGACCGTTTTGTGACGTGTACTGTACCCTCCTCGCTCGAACAATAAGACTATGATAATCGACGAGGGCCAAACAGCGAGTAACTGATACAAAAGGCGGGTTCATTTCGCGAGACACAGAAATGCTTGAGATGACCCCTGCCGGACTCAGAATCAAGTTGTCTCTCCAGGTTTCCCTTCGCACGTATCCTTGCTATTGAGCTAGCCCCCAGCTACGTTACGCCTTCTCCTCCAACGTCATCTCGGATATCAGCTCCTTCGCCATGGACTTCGACACGTCGCTTTTGGTCGACGAAGTCTGGGATGCGAGAAGGGACAGCCGCCACGAGCCATCGATTACAAACATACCGCTGCACTATGAACGAGCCAAGGCTCTTTGCCTAAGCCGAGGTGCGCGTCGCCAATACGCACATCATCCAACCGAACTCCGTCATGCTAACATCACCCAGGCCTCACAGTCGATGACATTGCTGAGCTGACCCCAAGATTTTGGGACTTCCACTTCGATCGTACGCTCTCTTCCATATCTGTCGTACATTAATCATGCTGAACTACTACCTGCCAGCCATTTCTTCTCGGGACATGACAGCTTTCGTCATCGCAACGATTCACCTCAACTTGTGTGTCGGAACGATTGCCAGATTCTCGCGTGAGCGACCTGACCTCATGGCCACCCTCGAGGAACTTCTCGCTTTCAAGGCTTGCGGAGAATTCATGTTGACAGAGGTCGGCCATGGCCTCGACGCCCGCAATCTGGAGACGACTGCGACGATGGAAGCCGACGGGTCTTTTACCCTGAACACGCCGAACGC